GACGGCTATATATAGGCAGGAAGAGGTGGTAGTAGTAGTAGTAGTAGTACAAGAATTGTATATAATACCGACAGGATGAAATTAAGACACATGCACAACACCCGGGCATCCCCATTGTAGACGTTTCGCCATCCAGCCAGCCACTGGATGGCAAAACGTCCACAACAAAGACAGCCAGACGCCGCACATGTGTCTTAATTTCAACAGTAGTTGTAGTAGAAGAAGAAGAGGTAGTAGTAGTAGTGGTAGCGGAAGAAGTGGGAAATAAGGAAGACGAGCCAGTCAAATACAAAGGAAGGGGAGCACTGCAAGAGAGCTAGATACCCACAGAGGGAGAGCAAGCGCACAGAGGTGCGTGAAAGGGGAAGTGGTGAAATAAAATAAATGAAGAAGGAACAGAAACATGAGACAGGAGAGAGAAAGACAACCCAGAGGAGAAAAGGAGAGAGGAAAGGGGAAGAGGAAGAAGAAAAAGACAAAGAAAAAGTGAGGATTCAGGTTAAGTCACGGGTGTTTCTGAAGTTTGGAGCATTTTACAATGTAGTGGGAGAGGAATGCATCTACAGGGACGAAGCCAGGGCTAAGGTTCATACAAGGAAAGTTGTGTATTAGAGAGGATTCAACTAGACGGCGACTTTTTCGAGTTGGAAGTGGGGAAGACAGTTTTAGCAGAAGACCAGTCAATAGGATGGCTATGATCTCTGACGTGACAGAAAAGAGCATTGTTAGTGTCGGCAAGCCTAACACTATTTTTGTGCTCCCTAAGTCTGTCAGAAAGAGATCGACCAGTTCTCCGAAATATTGAAGAGGACAGGAGGAGCAAGAAATAGAGTAGACACCAGGAACATCTGTAGAGGGAGGAGAGGTATGAACGAGATTAGTGCGAAGAGTGTTAGTCTGGCGGAAGGTAAGCTTAATGTCTAAGGGATGGAGAGAATTGTTGAGATTAGAAAGACCGAAAATGTAGGGAAGGCAGAGGATAGAAGAGTTCCCATGAGTAGAGAGTTTGGGAGAGAAGAAATTGCGTTTAGCAACGTGAGCGGGCAGAGTCTATGAAATGGGAAGGGTAGCCAAGACGGGAGAACGAATTATGAAGAGTGGAAATTTCTGCTGGAAGGAACTGAGGATCACAGATGCGGAGGCACGGAGAAAGAGGGAGATAAGAACACTTTTCTTGACAGGGGAAGCATGATAGGAAAAGTAGTGAATGTACATGCCACTGTACATAGGTTTACGGTAAAGGGAAAAGGAAAAACCTGTATCTGAGGGGTGGACATGGACATCAAGGAAAGGAAGTAAGGAATTAGATTCCCATTCAGCTTTAAACTTAATGGAAGGGGCAAGATTATTAAGAGCTTCAAGAAAAGGTTGGAAGAGACTGGAGTCATGAGACCACAGAGCAAAGATATCATCCACATAGCGGAGCCAGAGTGAAGGTTGCACATCGAGGGTAGGAAGAAGAACAGTCTCGAAGTATTCCATGTAAAGATTAGCAAGGACAGGAGAGAGAGAGAGCCCATAGCGACACCGAAGGTTTGAGAATAATATTTCCCTTGGAAGGAAAAGGAGTTAGAGTCCACACAGAGCGGATCAGATCAAGAAAGACATCAGTGGGGATAGGGAGATGAAGAAACCCTTCATGGGCCTTCTCTCTAGGGAAATAAAGGGACATCATCAAGAGGGACATTGGTGAAGAGGGACTCAACGTCAAGACTAAGCATCTTACAGGTTGGGAGAGAGCGAACCCATTCAATGAAGTCTTGAGAGTGATGGAGGGGGGCAGGAGAAAAAGTACCAAGAAAGGGAGTGAGGGTTTTGGCCAGCCAAGAAGCAAGAGAATAAGAGACAGAACCTCTAGAGGATATGATAGGACGAAGAGGAATATCAGGTTTTATGATTTTTGGGGAAGGCCATAGAAATAGGGAAGAGAGGGACAGATGACACGAAACCGTTAAAACAAGGTCAAAGTCAGGAGGACAGAGGTCGGAGAGAGTCCTTAGTTTTTTGTTGAAAGTTCTCTTGATGTGATCAAGAGGGTTGGAAACGAGAGGAGTGTAGGTGCGCGAGTCAGAGAGCAAGACATCAGCTTTAGGGAGGTAATCCTCGCGATCAAGGATAACTACCGAATTACCTTTGTCAGAAGATAGTATGACAATGTTAGTGTTGGATTTAAGAGAAAAAGGGCAAGTTGGTAACGGCGTGGAAGGTGGTGATTCTTGGAAAACAGACTAACAAGAGCGGGAAGGAGAGCACCACGAAAAGTGGACAAGTCATGGAAGATTATGGAAGCGAGATTGACGAAAGGAATCAAAAGAGCTAATCAGGGAAATACCAGTGCGAGGGGTAGGCGAAGTGGCAAAGGAAAGACCAAAACCAAGAAGTTCAAGCTCATATTGAGAGAGTGAGACAGAAGACAGATTAGTAACACAGTCAGTGAGGGAGAATTTAGACCAAGGGCTAGCTGGTATTTCCCTGATTAGCTCTTTTGATTCCTTCGTCAATCTCGCTTCCGTTTAATCTTCCTGACTTGTCCACTTTTCGTAGTGCTCTCCTTCCCGCTCTTGTTAGTCTGTTTTCCAAGAATCACCACCTTCCACGCCGTTACCAACTTGCCCTTTCTTCTCTTAAATCCAACACTAACATTGTCATACTATCTTCTGACAAAGGTAATTCGGTAGTTGTCCTTGATCGCGAGGATTACCTCCGTAAAGCTGATGTCTTGCTCTCTGACTCATGCACCTACACTCCTCTCGTTTCCTACCCTCTTGATCGCATCAAGAGAACTTTCAACAAAAAACTAAGGACTCTCTCCGACCTCTGTCCTCCTGACTTTGACCTTGTTCAACGGTTTCGTGTCATCTGTCCCTCTCTTCCCTATTTCTATGGCCTTCCCAAAACTCATAAACCTGATATTCCTCTTCGTCCTATCATATCCTCTAGAGGTTCTGTCTCTTATTCTCTTGCTTCTTGGCTGGCCAAAACCCTCACTCCCTTTCTTGGTACTTTTTCTCCTGCCCACCTCCGTCACTCTCAAGACTTCATTGAACGGGTTTGCTCTCTCCCAACCTGTAAGATGCTTAGTCTTGACGTTGAGTCCCTCTTCACCATTGTCCCTCTTGATGATGTCCTTGATTTCCTTAAAGAGAAGGCCATGAAGGGTTTTTTTCATCTCCCTATCCCCACTGATGTCTTTCTTGATCTGATCCGCCTCTGTGTGGACTCTAACTCCTTTTCCTTCCAAGGGAAATATTATTCTCAAACCTTCGGTGTCGCTATGGGCTCTCCTCTCTCTCCTGTCCTTGCTAATCTTTACATGGAATACTTCGAGACTGTTCTTCTTCCTACCCTCGATGTGCAACCTTCACTCTGGCTCCGCTATGTGGATGATATCTTTGCTCTGTGGCCTCATGACTCCAGTCTCTTCCAACCTTTTCTTGAAGCTCTTAATAATCTTGCCCCTTCCATTAAGTTTAAAGCTGAATGGAAATCTAATTCCTTACTTCCTTTCCTTGATGTCCATGTCCACCGCTCAGATACAGGTTTTTCCTTTTCCCTTTACCGTAAACCTATGTACAGTGGCATGTACATTCACTACTTTTCCTATCATGCTTCCCCTGTCAAGAAAAGTGTTCTTATCTCCCTCTTTCTCCATGCCCTCCGCATCTGTGATCCTCAGTTCCTTCCAGCAGAAATTTCCACTCTTCATAATTCGTTCTCCCGTCTTGGCTACCCTTCCCATTTCATAGACTCTGCCCTCTCACGTGCTAAACGCAATTTCTTCTCTCCCAAACTCTCTACTCATGGGAACTCTTCTATCCTCTGCCTTCCCTACATTTCCGGTCTTTCTAATCTCAACAATTCTCTCCGTCCCTTAGACATTAAGCTTACCTTCCCCCCAGACTAACACTCTTCGCACTAATCTCGTTCATACCTCTCCTCCCTCTACAGATGTTCCTGGTGTCTACTCTATTTTCTTGCTCCTCCTGTCCTCTTCAATACTTTGGAGAAACTGGTCGATCTCTTTCTGAAGACTTAGGGAGCACAAAAATAGTGTTAGGCTTGCCGACACTAACAATGCTCTTTTCTGTCACGTCAGAGATCATAGCCATCCTATTGACTGGTCTTCTGCTAAAACTGTCTTCCCTACTTCCAACTCGAACAGTCGCCGTCTAGTTGAATCCTCTCTAATACACAAAACTCCTTGTATGAACCTTAGCCCTGGCTTCGTCTCTGTAGATGCCTTCCTCTCCCACTACATTGTAAAATGCTCCAAACTTCAGAACACCCGTGACTTAACCTGAATCCTCACTTTTTCTTTTTTCTTTTTCTTCTTCCTCTTCCCCTTTCCTCTCTCCTTTTCTCCTCTGGGTTGTCTTTCTCTCTCCTGTCTCGTGTTTCTGTTCCTTCTTCATTTATTTTATTTCACCACTTCCCCTTTCACGCACCTCTGTGCGCTTGCTCTCCCTCTGTGGGTATCTAGCTCTCTTGCAGTGCTCCCCTTCCTTTGTATTTGACTGGCTCGTCTTCCTTATTTCCCACTTCTTCCGCTACCACTACTACTACCTCTTCTTCTTCTACTACAACTACTGTTGTTGTGGACGTTTCGCCATCCAGTGGCTGTCTGGATGGCGAAACGTCTACGATGGGGATGCCCGGGTGTTGTGCATGTGTCTTAATTTCATCCTGTCGGTATTATATACAATTCTTGTACTACTACTACTACTACTACTACTACTACTACTACCACCTCTTCCTGCCTATATATAGCCGTCCTGCTCCACCTCTGTTAGTGTGACTTTGTCAATGGTCCAAGTCGGACCGAAACGTCGTCGTAAGCTTCTCTCTTTTATGTGCGGGTTATTTGTGTATTGTTCCAGTCACGGTATTGTGCCTTTTTGTTATTTATTTAAACAAGTTGAGCTTTGTGTCATTCTGTCATTGCAGATAGTTCTGAGTGTAATAAATTATTATTGTTGACTGTTCATTGCTCTTACTTTCAGATCTATCAAATATTTTTGAAAGCTTTCTTCCACAACTTTTAACATATCCAAATCCAATTGATCCCTTAAATGGGGATGCAGCCGCAATGTACCTCCACAAGCCTGAAGAGTACAAGAAGAAAGTCTCAGGTAAGTTTCATCGTTGTAGTTGGAGCTATTGTAAAAATAATTATATTTACAGTATGTACAGTATTTATTACTTATATGATACAGTTCCATTGAATGACTACCCTCACTTTTAGGACTACCCTACAATAATAATTTACTGTTTAGTTACCCCTTCCTCTTTTATAAATTTTTGCAGCTTCTACTCTTCTATGATTTGCCCTTTTTTTTCAGAAACCTATTTGCCAACACATTCAGTCTGAGATATCTTAATGCATTCAGGTCTTCCATATTCTCTCCTTTCAGTCCAGTGTTCATTGCTTCACTGACCCCATCCCCCCAAAAAAGGGAAATATTCATAATTATTCCTTCAATTGCTGTCTTACCAGAAATGTGTTGACATCACACTTCATATGACCCTCCAAACTGCAACATTCTTACCCCTTTTATAGAGTGTAGGCACTGTACTTCCCACCTCCAGGACTCGAATCTAGCTATCTGATTTCCCTGAATCCCTTCATAAATGTAACCTTTATTACACTCACAGTAGGTCAAACTCCAAAAACCACTTGTCTCCACTCCATCCAATCTAATGCTCTCACACAAGCCTATTGGATGTTCAAGCCCCAACCATTTAGAACCTCCTTTACCCCCTCCCTCCGATCCATCCTGGGATGACCCCTACCCCTCCCTTCCACTCCAAATTTATGTACCCATTTAGTCATCCCATTCTGTTCCATCCTTCAAATGCCCAAATCGCCTCAACAGTTTCCCCTCAGCCCTTCGAATTATACTTTATGCAACACCACACCATCTTTCAGTCTTCTGTTTTATTGTTTCCAACTCTCCATGGGTTTTTGTTGGTGCCAATGGCTAATGTTTATTATCCTTTTGTGTTGAGTCATACATGGCATTATACAGTATGTTTACAATAAAATTCAAAATTGGGTGGACAATTCATTTAGGTTTAATTTTTTTTTAATTTGATATTCCAATATTTGCCTTTGTATATTTGTATGTAGTCTTTCTTCTTTCAACACACTGGCCGTATCCCACCAAGGCGGGGTGGCCCAAAAGGAGAAACAAAAGTTTCTCCTTGTACATTTAGTAATATATACAGAAGGGGTTACTAGCCCCTTGCTCCCGGCATTTTAGTCGCCTCTTACAACACGCATGGCTTACGGAGGAAGAATTCTGTTCCACTTCCCCATGGAGATAACAAGGACAAGAGCTAGAAAGAAAATAGCAGAAAACCCGGAGGGGTGTGTGTATATATATATGCTTGTACACGTATGTGTAGTGTGACCTAAGTGTAAGTAGAAGTATCAAGACGTACCTGTAATCTTGCATATTTATGAGACAGACAAAAGACGCCGGCAATCCTACCATCATGTAAAACAATTACAGGCTTTCGTTTTACACTCACTTGGCAGGACAGTAGTACCTCCCTGGGTGGTTGCTGTCTACCAGTTGCTGTCTGGCAGTTTGGAGGGATATGTTGTGTATCTTTATATGTGTATGCTTCTAAACTGTTGTATTCTGAGCACCTCTGCAAAAACAGTGATAATGTGCGAGTGTGGTGAAAGTGTTGAATGATGATGAAAGTATTTTCTTTTTGGGGATTTTCTTTCTTTTTTGGGTCACCCTGCCTCGGTGGGAGACGGCCCGACTTGTTGAAAAAAAAAAATATATTTTATTTATCTCATTGCCCATCTGCTGTCAAGGCAGGGTGACCCAAAGAAGAAAGCACATTTACTATCACTCATTCAATCAACATCTTACCAGAAGTGTGCTGGCATCAAAGGCAGATCACCAGATTACCCTCTAACTTAAACATCTCCACCCCTCCTTCAGAGTCAAGGCACTCCCCTTCCTGCAATATATACCTTATAGTATAATGACATTATGCCAACATATAGTAGTAGAAAGACACTTATGGCATGGAATCCTTTATATTTGCCTTTCACCCACTGGGGACTTAAGTCATCCTGGTGGGTGAAACACACAAATAAAAAGTTCTGTGCTATAAGTGTCTTTCTTCTACCAGTATATAACTTGTTACTTCACTGGCATACAGTATCATTACTCAACTTGTAGCTATTGAACTGCATTTTAGACAGGCAGAGATGAAAGAGGGCCAAGGTTTTTTTTTTTTTTTTTTTTTTTTTTTATGATGGATATCTATTAAGACTAGGTGAAAGGAAGAATTTTTTTTTTGTGATAATTGCATTCAATTTCAAAGCTCCAATTTTGTATTGATTTGAATTTGTGAAATACTGTACTCACTACTTGTCACATTGATTCATTTATCAAAATTCTTTAAACTATTGATTGTGATTATTGGGTTGTAGTACCATGTGCATGTTAATGACTGGATTGAAGTCAAATCATATTGCTTCTTCGAATACAGTGTATGTGTTTCTTTTTACAATTCACTAGTGGGTAACAGCAGCAACAGAAAGTTTGCATACTTATATCCAGCTTTTTCTTGCACAGTACCTCTCTCACTTGGTCCAGTTTTTAAAACTACCAAAATATTTTTTCAGACTATGTTAAGCGATATGCAACAGAAGAGGCTTTGAAGGAACAAGAAGCTGCTCAAGCAGACTCCTCAGATTCTGAATCCTCCATGTCTGACTTTTCTGAAGATGAAGCACAAGACATGGAACTCTAACCATCCCAGCTGACCCCTGTATCATCGCAGTCTCCTTCATCCTCCCCTCCCCATCACCTCATGCTCCAGACTCCCAGCCAGCTGTTTATCTGCCATAGCATAATTTTTTCATGGTACATTTAAGATAATGTACAACCATTCATAAAAGTGTTAAGGTACAATTTCAAGATATATTTATGCTGCTTTTGCAAAAAAATGACTTGTATAATGACAAATGGTTATTGAGACCTTGCAGCTTTATTTCAATTACTTTTGTACATAGTAACATCTCTTCAGACATCAACAATAACCGCATGTCGTTAATGGTATTTAGTCTAGTTAGACAGTGTGATGAAAATGGGAATGTTGTGGGGTAATCTTTTTATTTTAATGTATAATATTTAATAAAGCGAGTTTATTTTATTGTGTTTATCTGTAGCAAGTATTTACAAGACCACGTAGAGTGGATTACATAAGTATGCATTACAGATTCATTTTAGATAAAAGCTTCAGTTCAAATAGTCTTATTATCATTCATAAAGTAATTATTTGTTCAGCTTTTGGAATTTTGCCACATATCCTCAGATGTCCTTTGTTTTGTTTTGTTTTACCTTCAAGTGGCATAATTTCCTTTGAAATTCACTGAAATGTATATTACAAACAAATTACCAAAAGCAAAATGATGCACGTAGTCTTATCATAAGCCATTTTAATCTTTCATTAGTATAGAAAAGATATTGAAAGTCTAACTTATTTTGGAAATGTTTAAACAGCAGCTAAGTTATTTGGTATTTTCATTTTGCACTAAATTTGGGAAAAAAGTTTTATGTATGAAGTTCAAATTAATCAGGTGATATAGTTTCCCCACTGATAACCAAGGTATTTTGTGATTAAACACAAGTCTACAAAAGAGTTGTTGCCTTCAGACAAGTGGCTGGCATCATTGTGAGTTATGGAGCTTCACAATCGTTCATAGAGATTATATTAGTGTAAACAGTGACTCCTTCACAGACAAATGAGAGAATAGTTTTTATACAGGAGACTTTTTTTTTTCTTAGTGCCACTTACTTGTTCCCCCCATTGTGTATGCTTGACTCAGCTCCCTTGTGCTTCCCTGTTTGCCATTTCTCTTTTAAGATGTACATTCATGGTAAAAGTAACTCAGCAAGTTGGTTTCTGATTTTTACCAACAACCCATGGTAATTATTATCCACTATACCTCATATATTATATTAGTGTAAGAAATATTCTGTGTATTTTGAAACTGCATACAGTATAGATAAAGATACATACAGTAGTACTATTAAGTTCTTCACTTAGTACAGTAGTTTAGTCCATCAATATTGTACTGCATGAGGTTTTTTTTAAATGCATTTTAGATGCTCTGGTTAATGCGTTTGGATTTTATCGCACATTAAAATATTCTACACTAACATCCAAGGCCAAAGTGAATTATTTTTTATGTACAAAACTTGCCATTAATAAATTTAACCTGTCACTTAAACCCTTTTATAAGACTAACTTATAAATATCTATATTTCAACTTTAAGTAAGAAATCCTCTATTTAGGATGCAAAGGAGCTGACTTGAAATGCACATGCTGTTATCAGGTGGAGGGACAATAGTGGCCAAGTTATGTGCTCCCAGAAGCCACAAAGTTTGGTCTCTCTTGAAAGTTTTCATCATTAAAGACCTCAGCAGTTATGAAGTTTTCGTGCTATATTTCTGCAAACGTTTTAAAGTAATTTTGGTAGGAATAGTTAAGAAGTTAAAAAATTTGTCACACTGTAGATTTTATTATAACTTGAACTTTTGATGGAGTTTGAGCTTGGGTGTATGGGAGTACAATGTTATACATAATGTTGAGTGTGACTGACTTTGTTTTATCTTATGTGATGACAGATAGTTTGTGTCTGTATTTTGTTTTAGTGCTAAGATGTTTGAACTCGAGGACTCAGTATGCACTTCATTCATTACACTGCATTTGTCATTTAATTTTGAAGGAGTATGGATGTAATGGCTGCGAGCCAGAAACCCCGCATTGGTTGGTTAGATTAACTTGTTGCCTGGAGAGACTAGCCTGTAATCAATGATGGGAAGATTTATGTTAATGAGCCATGGAATCATTGATCCTTATGGACCTTTGGGACCATCATTGGCTGAACATAATTTGAAAAAGACAGAAGTAGGCTTTGGGATTAGGCCACATAAATTGTGGGATTGGTTGATAAAATAAGCTATGAAAGGTTGAAGTGACCCACGATTGGCATACCAAATTTTTGCTTGAGTAAAAGTATGTGATTTATTGAATGTGGATAAATTGATACTGCAGTACATGCATATATGCCACTTCTAGTCACTAATCATTGTGCCACATTGAACAGGAAAGATGATACAGTAGTAACAAGTCTTGCTCTGTATTACTGTATGGTAGTTACATTTTGGTTTAGCTAAATTAGGATGAGTGGATTCAATGGAAACTAATATGTTGGGTAATCAAAAAAATATTTTAAGCTGTAAGACAATGATTTCAAGGAAGTACTTCTTTGCTTGACAGTCCTGTGCCTCAGTACTTGGTAGCTCAGAATTTAGTTATAAGAGTTGTCTGCTGAGACATACATACATATACATGTACACACATATGTTCATACATACATTCACACACAGCTCCTGTATCCTGGTGCAAATGTATGTGCTTGTGCACATACATTAACACCATAAGACAGGAGCTGAGATTTTACCCCTGCAGCCATATATAGGTGAGTGCACAAGTATGCACATTCATACACACATCCTTACAGTATCAGGTTAACCCCATAGTTTAAAAGTGGTCTTGAGTTTGTCATATTTTGGTGTTGATTATACAGGCTGTACTAAGTAAATATAATACTGATGCAAATGTTGATTAAAATTGCTTGCTTATTGGTAACCAAGAAAAATTCAGGGTAATAATATTTTAACTTATTTAAGAAATATGTTGACCAGTGACATGGCCAGTGTCATAAGTGATTTGCTCTGATTGTGTGAGTAGTAGCACTTGATTCGCTCTGCCGAATGAATCACGCACTTACAAAATACTGCTTTCAGAAAGGCAAAATAAGAGGAGAAAATTTATAAATTACATAGCTAGTATTGGATTTAGTTAAATAGGGGAAAGTAAGATGAAAAATGTGCAATAAAACCAAAAATTACAAGTGTAAATAGCATAACATTGAGGATAGTTTTCCTGTTCTGAAGACAAGCATATAACTACTTCTGTTAGTAATTACTCTTGGTATTAATGTAACTTATTCATGTTACTTGTGTCACTCTGTCTTACATTGTGTCTTTTCTTCTGAGTTTCCACTTATGTATGCTAACAGAGGCAGTCTTCATTCAACATATTCTTGTTTCTCAGTGCAAGAAAATGGCAATTGATTCACTTATATTATTATAGCCAAATTAGCCAAGTGAAAATACTTTAACAAACATTTGTGATACATTCCTGAGATGTTGAAATGCTTGGAGAAGATTCTTTCATTTGGTTACTCCATTGAGGACAAAAAAAAAAAAAAAAAGGAGCTCTCAAAGGGAACTAGGCATTAATGATATAGATCAGAATAACTTTTGTACTGTATTTCAAAAATTGACATTGTGATACAATGTTCAGTCAGATATAATAGTTATTGCATCTTCATATTTTGTATCCTAAACAAAATTGTGTGGTGCTCGTAGTGTCAATAACAGTGTGCAGGTTTTGTTCAGGAATGCATTTTGTCTAAACTTTTTCAATACATAACGGTGTTTAAAGCTGCTTGTTCTATATATTGTGATTATAGTTAAAAACAGTTATTGGAGTAAGTACCATTAAATCCGTTATATTCTCATTTTTACCCACCACTGCTTAGTTATTTTTTATTACAGGAGTTGCATGGTATATCTGTAAAGACTTAATTTAGTAGTATTACAGTGTGGTTTGCCTCGGCATAAGGAGCGGAGCTGTGCTGTTGCTGTGTGTAGAGTTTTAACAATAGGGTCATCCAAGCATTGGTCTTCATGGTCATTATTCTCAAGATACCATATTTGTAAAATTTTGAAATTGCCTATTTCTAAGAGCATGCCATAGAATTTTTATATTTCCTTTGTATGCATCATTTGTAATTGAATAAGGGTCACTAGTATGAAAAAGTAAATTAAGCCCCTTTTTTTTTTCACAAATTAAGGATTTCAAGATAGGTGCAAGTGGTACCATTTGAGGGTGATGGTCTTCAGACTTTGTGGTGGTGTGACCATTAGCATTAAGGACCATTATTGCTTGCCAGCTCCCCAAAGCTTTAAGGGCAAGTGCTCAGGAGGAGATGGTTAATGTGAGCGCTATGAAAAAGAGGGTTTATAGTATTTGCTGGGCAGCATTGAGTATGGACTGCATAACAAAATATCCTAGGCAAATGATGAGGCTGGCAGTATAGCAGCCATTTACTTATGGCATGTAGTTGACAGTTTGCTGCTTGAATTTTTTTTTAAATAATATGTATTGTAGAAACCAGAAAAATCTTTATGAAACAGAACATGAAATGTTTGTATTCTTTCAATAAATTAATATATGATCTTCACTGTTTAGTAAAGATGAATTCATAATGGTCTGAATATTTAATAATCTTCAGTCTTCATAATTGTGTTTAGATTAAAAATTATAGGATGATACAGATTAACATTGTATATTTCCCTCTAGTTACCACATTTTGTGAGCAGCCATGTTTCAGCCTCAGTTTTACATAAATATTTAATAAATTTTTTTTTTAGTAAAACTGAAATACTTTTATATACATAATGTTGGTCACATTGCAAAATCCTGGTAGTTGTTTTGCAGTGTTACATAACCATATTATTATTGAATCAGTATTCACTAATAATAGTGCAGATTGAAAGGTGTAATGATATTATTTTCTTAAAATGTGTCATAACATTAACCTAAAAATAATGCAATTGAGCTTTACGCCAATTTTTTTTATTAAAGTTTAGTGTGCTTAAACATTTTAATCAGTTCATATACTGCCAATCTTGCAAGTCATAAAATAATAAGTAATGCCATTGATAAGTATCAGCTCAAATAATGTGGATTTAGAGGAGGAATAATTATGTTGCTGTTAAAGTGTGTCATTGAATGCTGTGTATCAACAATATGTAATCCATTCTAAAAATAACTACTGGTACTGTATAATGCCAAATTTAAATTTACATATATTTATATTTGAAAATACATATGAATGAATGATCAGCACAAAATGTCTATGCATGTAATTATAAAACTTTAAAGGACACGCAGGCCATAGTGAGCTTTGCTGTTTGTTACATGGTGCGCTAAACCAGGAAGATCTCATGAGCCAAAGGTGTCTAGTGCAATTTTTTTCTTTTTTTTTTTGCCTGGATGAGCGCAGAGAGCACTTGTCTTTCATAACCTCACTGTCTTTCATGGGGGGTTTGGCTGGCATATTAACACAAGCGACAGGAGCTTTATAAACACCAATTATGACAATGCTCACCCACAGTCTGGTTGATGTGTTGCAATTTTTATTAATAATAAAATAAGCCTATTTTCCAAAATATATTCTGGTTCTGTTTCATGTCTTCTTCAGACTTTCAAAACTGTTAATTGCAGATTGGGTCCTATATGAAAAGCAATAACATATTAGTGTTTATTTAGCTCCATCATTGCAACACAGTCCAGGATAATGTTCATAATGTCCTCTAAGTTGACCCACGTCAGCCGATGCCATAAGTGTTTCTTCAAGTTTACTGAGAATGGCAACCTTTCAACTCTGCTCATGTGATACCCGCAAGTATAATAACAAACTTGCCTGAAATTTTTAAAGTGATACAGGAATAACGTTGGCCATTATGCAGCTTGATCCTTCTATGGCTTCCTTGAGTCGTCAGAATGGTAGTGTTATGCAAGTAACTAATGGTCTGCTATCTTTTGTATAGCATTCTATATGGAGTAGATATATGTTGTCATATGAACTTTGACCTGTAATGTTGATTTATAATCAAATCAGTATATGCATTATATGATTGGCATAAATATCTTGTCATTGCTCTTAGCACCACCGTGAGACAACTTCTTCAACACCTCATACATTGTGCAAATGCGGGATATCATAACTTTGTATATTCTTAACTAAGCTAAATAAATGC